GAAGCCATACTGGAGTTTCACAATCTGCCTTTCCAAATAATAATCCCTTTAATCTTGGTGCTCACTGTGCCAGTTAACTCAAGAAGGGTCCTTTCCTTGCAGGTCTGGCCTGTCTGTGAAAGACAGCTAATCTCTTCTCAAAGGGTCTTTGTCATAAACAAAGATAAACAAATAGATGCTAGATGTGAAGGGTAGATAAGCAAATAGATGTTAGATGTGAAGGGTCTTGAGATAGACATTGCCTAAATCTTTACAATAGACCTCCAGAAACAGATATGACTGAGGATGAAACGTGTTATGTGCTGTGCTCATGGTGTCCCTGTGAGAAAGGATAAAACCTTGCCCAATTCTGTCCCGTTTTCACAACCTCTGCTGTGCTTAAGCCCATTGTTAGAGTTACTGCTTTAATCCATGACATTGAAGGTCTTCCTCTCCTTTGTTGACCAGCTACTCTTCCAAACCTGATGTCCCTTTTCAAGGACTGGTCCCTTCTGACAACAAGCCTATTTATGTGAGATGATGAAGTCTTGCCAGCCTCATCTGCAAGGAGACTCCAGCGGAACTATTTCCAGAACAGATGCATTCATTCTTCTGGACAACCATGGTCTTGTTCAGTCATCCTGGGACCACCCTGTAATAAATTGAATGGCATATACTTTGATTCAATCATATAATCCTATTTATTATGCATTACCTATCTATTGTTGCCAAATTCCCACTTCTGATATCCCACCACCAACTTCCCTTACGGTCTTTCAGCCAGTTCTGAATCTTCTAATCTTTAGCTCCTATTCAAAAAATATGAGAAAATTTTTTTCGTTGTTGTTGTTGTCTGGCAGAATGACTATTTTCACTCAGTGATAATAGACATTTCCTTGTCCAAACGGTCACTATCCCTCAGTAAAGTTCATTTGCATTTATTTTAGTTGACTCTGATTGATGTTGCTCTAACTCAGAAGCCAGACAGAGTTGGTACCCAAACAGATACGATATCTACAGTGCTGACAAGGAATGATGGTGCAAAAGACACAGCTTGGCATTTTTTTAACCTTTACTGCATTATTTCCATTTGTTTTTTGTGAACAATTGACTATTTCTTTATCTTAAGTAAAGTCCCATGTAAATATATCTTCATAGTTCATTTTCTAAATGAAAAATCTTTGCTCGTATAAAGCCATCACTCTCTGGGACATGACTGTGATTTCCAGTGAGATCTCATATCTTTTCTTTACACTCCAGACAAACCATGACACTGGTAGGGCTGTCAACATTTATGTATTCTTCTTGAAGCTGCAGTTGGGGATAATTATCAATTGGGGATATCTGGAAGGATGCTGGTGGCCAGAGCCATATGTTCTCCCCATACCTATTCTATTTGTGAATGACTGTATCACGGTGGGTAAGTCACTTAACCTCTGGGCCTCATTTTCAAAATCTTAAAATTGAGAGAGGCCTTGACCACTAAAGTCCTTAAGGAAGTTCCTAAGAACTTACATCTTCTAGTTACAACTTTTCAGAGAGTTATGCTGTCAAAGGACCAACTGGGGAAGACTTTTGGGGCAATGAAATGACACATTCTTTAGTAAAGATGGATATGAAGCTGGAAGTCTGCCCATCAAGAAAGGAAAAAAAAAAAGAAAAACTTAACAAGTCAGCAAAAAGAACCATATAGGGGTGTAGCCCAGAGACTGCTGCCAGGAAAAAAAAAAAAAAGAAGTCTCCTGTACGTGCTTATGTGAATCAATGGGCTTAATGACAAGGCTGATGTGGTCGGATTGAGAAGGCAGGGTAAGTGTGTGAAATGAATGAATGTGCTATATGAGGCATGCAGAGGGAAGGAACTCAATTTCACCAACTCCATCCTTTCATTTTCCACTCAGCTGTCGAGGGAAGCAACAGAATGAATGGGAGAGCAGGATGTTGGGGGACATCTTGAAATAATCCATACAATGAAAACCAAGGATGTTTAGGAAACAGCCTTCTCCAAGTCATGCAAAACTCGAGAATTAGAAAAACTCATGTTTAAGAGTGGAGCTGAAAAGTCAAGAATGTCTGATTTTCTTTGCTTAGAAAGAACAAGATTAAAAATACATCCCTAGAGAGAGACTCAGGACATGAATAATTTCTTTTAGAAGGGTCAGCTGGCTAAAGCTGGCTACAACAAGGGGAAGGTTATGTTCTAAATGTCTCACTATTCCAACTACTCTACTACTCCATCATTTCGAGTATCAACTGCTCTCCCTCCCTCAGCAGCCTGCCTCTCTTCTTTGGGTTCTCTCATCTTTGTACCCTCTCAAAGAACCTACACATCATCATGGAAATGACTCAAGCATTTGTGAAGGTTGGCAAGTCCCAAATCTGGAGGCTTTTCCTGACTTACATGGTTGCAGGGGCTGACAAACTCAAACTGGCAGATCCTAAGACAGGCTCTAATGGGACTCATAAGGCTTCAGAAGCTGATGAATCAGGTCAGACAAATGGACTGTTGGCTTGAGTTCAAAGAACTGGAGGTCAGATAATGAGCCAGATGTTGGATACAGAGCGAGAGCGAGAACTCTGCAAGAGCTTGCATATATTGGATGTAGACCACATCCTTAAGGGAACGAACCCCAACTAAAGCCAAAGGGTATAGGGGGTGGTGACTTGAGTCACACCCTCTAGTAAAGGGGTGACTTATGATACATGTTACCTTAATCCTGCCTCCATATGATGAGGAAAGGTTCACTCCAAAATGTGACCAGAATCACAGCAGAGAAGCTAAGATTTAGAAACACACCACAAATGGAGGACTTTGGCTAGAAGGGCCCTGCTAAGCAACTCACTGCATGCATGGCACTTGGTAAAGCTGTCTTAGACTCAACAAATGTTTCTAAAATTCTGTGCCAGTAAATGATCTCAAAGTCAAAGTCAATGCCATGGAGTCTGGACCAACTCATAGTTTGACCCTCCAGCAGGTTTCCAGAGGCTGTACCTCACTCAAGAGATTGTCAATATTTCTTCCATGGAGTGGCACAATTCCTTACCCTCTAGGCCACCAACTAATCTTGGAGTATTATATGTATTCTACTATGAGACACTAGAGATTTAATTTTATTTCTTCTTACTGTAGCTAAGATAATGTGACTGCAAGTTGTGCTATTAAACTGGCAGTTACGGTATGCATAAGACATTATAAGGTACATTGCCAATTTAGAGGTGTTAAAGCATAGCAAAAGTGTATTTTGCATGAATGATGCCTGTGAACAATGAATAGGGAAGTCTGAAGAAGAACTGATGCCTCTGAAATGTGGTATTTATGAAGAGTATTGAATATCCCATGGATTGTCTAAAGAACAAACAAATCTCTCTTGGAGGAAGTGCAATTCAGGCGCTCCTTAGAGACAAAGATAGTGAAACATTTAGTAAACTGCTTGGGAGGAAACTGCCCACTATTTGAACTATAGCTTTTGAGCTGGAAGAGTAGCTCCTTACCATTAAGCCATCAGAGCTTCAAATCTCAGCAAGAGGATACTTCCCATCTTTCTCCTGAAACTAACTGGTAGATTCAAACTGTTGATGTTTCAGTTAGCAATGAGCCACGTAAGACATTATCCACTAGACCACCATGGCAAGATTAAATGAACAGTTTTATTAACCTGATAAGGCAATGTTGCACTGGGGCTGATGGATACTGTTCCTACCTCTCTCTGAAGGGCTCTGTTTTCAGTGTTCTTGTGAAGTTTTCTTCCGTCCAACCCTGTTGGATGATTTGAATATGGAGTAAGGAAATACGAGAGCCTAACAAAAATGAGCTGATTCTGTAAATTATGTATCTTCTTATCAAAAAGGAGACTCCTTTAACCTTCATAAGAGTTATTGCTGTTGATTGTCTTCGAGTTGAATATGACTCTTAGCGACCCTATGAACAAAAGGTCTGAAGCCTTTCTATAACTATCGACATTTATCAAAGTTCATAGGGTTTCTGGAGGCATGTTGTTTAGGAAGTGGATGCCACTCCTGCTTGGTTCCTTTCCACCGATGAGGAAAGCCAGGCCTTGGGGAGGTTAAGTATCTTCTTTAGGTTACTCTGGTCATGTGGCTAATAATGAAGGGATATGAATGTGAGGAGTTTTAATCAGCACGTAAATAAGAAATGGATCTTGTCATTAAGGAGATCCAGACATATAAACTAGTTATGCTGTAAAGAGAAAACCTTTAATAGTGGTTTGTACAAAGTATGATGCACTTCAGAGGATGAAGCTATTAAATCAAACAATCTTACATATTTATAAGCAAACTGAGCATGCTAGTGAGTCTGACACATTTCTTTTAAAGAATGACATGTTTTAGAGCTCTATATTTTTTTCACAGTTTGGTGAGTGTGGATTGAGCAGTAGTGAGTGCATTTATTATAAGGGTTCATGGATCTCAAACACAAATTTCATTAAATCATAGCCAATAAAAAGAATTTAAATAATGTATTATGGAAAATTTCAAACATATGGAGAAGATATTATAGTGAATCCCCATGGAGCCCATACTCAGACTCAGTTGTTAGCCTTCTACTATTTTTGTTTTACCTAAACCTCTCTCCCGCCCCCAGCTCCATTTTTAAATAGAGCACTGAAAACCCAATCTGAAGATTTATGCACTTTTATAAGTAAATATCTCAGTATGGATATCTAACATGCAAAAACTTAAAAGGAAGCAACATAACAGTATCACAACCAACAAAATTGAAAAGAATTCCAAATATTTACCTAATATTTATCCAGTATATGCCCAATTATCTCTTATTAATTTGTATGGCATAATTCTATTAAATAATTTTACGCTTTTTGTAGAGAATAAGGATAGAAAGTTTTCCTTCTAAGTTCCATTCTGGCAATAATTGCAAAGACAAAAACCCCTTTTCAATGAGTAATTTGTTAGTAAATAAAAAGATAATGAGTAGAGACAGAACATAGGGCATAACTTTATTTATAAAGTGAAGGCCGCAAAGTAGATTGAAAAACAAATACATGATAGCCACGTGAATTACCGTTGAGGCAGCGGGGATCAAACTCCCCGGTGTTATGGAGCATGATGGCCATTTTGCACAGGTAGGAAGAGCAGGTAATTCTTAAAGGCCATCTCATGCTTTTTGTCTAAGTGATTTCTTACTACCACCTGCCTTCCAAACTTTATCACAAATCTAATAAACAAACACACCTCATCACCCATCTAAACCAACTGAGCCTTAAAGGTAACTTAAAAAAAATTTTTTTTCCACTCTGCAACCCTCATTCCGGATTCATGGTAATCATAATGCCCTAAAATATATTACTTTTAAACTATACTCGGGGTAGGGGTGTGTGTGTGTGAAAAGTGCAACAATGAATGAATGGAAGTCCAAAATCCCTGTAGATGTTCATTGAAATTAATAAAAAAAAAAGTAAATAAAAAATTTTTTTGTCATTCATATACATTGCGTTTTGAGGTAACTTTTAAGGAGTGACCATTTTGAGGAGCACTGGTGGAGCAGTGGATAAACCCTCACTGCTAAACAAAAGGTCAGTGGTTTGAACTCGGCAGCCACTTCTCGAGGGAAAGCTGTACTAGTCTGTTTTGTAAACATTACAACTTTGGAAATCTTACAGGATAGTTCAAGGCACTTCTGGCGGCATAGTGGTAAGAAGCTGAGTTGCAATCCTGAAGGCATGTGGTTCAAATCCACCACCTGCTCCACGAGAAAGACGGGTAATTTCCTCTCCTGTGATTAACTGCCTCTGAAAACCCACCAGAGGGCCAGCTATGGGTCGGTTCTGAGTCTACAGTATATAACAGCAGTTGTCCTGTCCTGTCCTACAGGGTGGCTAGGAGTCAGATTTGACTTGACAGCGACAGGTATTAATCATTTTGCTTTTTTAGGTTCCATCTTTCTTTCATGTTGGAAAGGGAATTATGAAATCAGAATTAAAAATTTTAGTTACTTTCCTCTCAGAAAATCATGTGTACACACACACACACACACACACACACAAAATTTACTGCTTAAAAATTATTTTTATGGTGTTACATTCCTGAGAGCTCCCTTGAATTCTGTATTGTTTTATAAAAGCTTTCTCCCCCTACTCTTGTTTCATTCTTTCCTTCCTATTTATTCAGCACCTTATTGCTAAGTGTTACCAAGGATATAATGACATAAAAGACATAATTCCCCCCTTTAAGTAGCTTGTCTTACTAGCAAGATGGGTCAATGACCATTGCCTACTGTGAGCTAACTAACTTCAGAACCATGTAAGAGGGGTAACTATTGGTCAAAATGAACAAAAGGAATTTACACTATCAAAAAGGGAGAGCACATTGAGTTTAGCAGTGGAAACAAAAGATATGGGATTAGTCAACTAAGACCTGTGTGTACGTGTTTACAAGAATTTCTGTACATATTTGACCTGTGTTGTCTCTTCTTTCTCTCACAGACAGTCTCTCTCTCTCCACCCCCCACCCCCTTTGTATTTGGATATCCACATTGGCTAGTGTGTTCATCTTTTGACATTGCTAATTAGAAGGAAAGAGAAAAGGCAGAACTCATCCACAGATGCTGTGTCCCATCTAAGGTGACCTGCAGATGGGGGCAGCAGGATTTAGAATAAAGTCAGTAGCTGAGAATTCAGGAATAGTAAAGAGAATAGAGTGGGGTTGGTGAGTCCGATAGTGGGAACAGGTAAGTAGAACTGGGAGAAGAGGAAGGTGGTACAAGAGATGACTAAAGAAAGGCCTCAGGATGAGATCATGGCATAGTCGGAGAACTGGGAGCCATTCATCATGTCTTCTCAATGCTGCAGTTATGACTTATGGAACATTTTGGACTGTCTTACAAACATAGCCTGAAGTTATTTGGTGGGACTCTCATAGAAATCAAGGCTGCTTTGTGATGAGGAACATTTTTCTTTTGCAAATATAAAAAAACCTAGGCTAAGCTACTTAATTATAAAGCTTACATGAAGTTGCAAACGGCAGGATCATGTTCTAGCTAAGAGTTGTCCTCTGCAAAGGGTGCTGTTGCTGACTGCGTTGAGTTCTAGCCTTGGGGTTTAGGTGTTGGGCTGTAGTTTCTAGATCTTTCAGGCATTGCTTTTCTGTACCTCAGTTTTTTTAGCTATAAAGGAGGGAGTTTCACAGGATAGGGCAGGGGCTGGGCAGAGGAAACAGTACTAACTTTTGCTCAACTTTGCTAAATGTCAGTCATCTCCATAATTTTCAAGTCTCATTACTTTGAGACAATATAAGATACATTTTAAATTACAAAGCAAGGGAAGTATTTTGATATGCTTTCTTTTTGGTTAGATTTATCCATTCTTTCAGGTTTTCCTAGTTTGTTGGTTCTCGTTCCCTATTACCCTTGCCGATAGAGTGCACGTTAACGTAAAAGCATAAATTAACCGAACATTCTCCTGGGAAAAGAGAGAGCCAGTGAATATAATAAAGGAGGAAACCTAATGATTCATCTGGGTGGGGATTAGGCATGTCATAAGACAGGTCAGGACTTATGAGGGTGGAGCAAACCATTTGAAAACAGGTCCTATGAAGAGTGGGTGTGGTCAACATTCCTTCAGAAAAGAGGAGTCAGTACTGAGACTCTAGACACTCCAGCACCATGGCCTGATGATACGACAACCCAGAGATATCCTACCTATAATCATGTATTTTAGCTTGCTTTGCCTGCTGGTTCCTGCCCACAGGAACATGTAGCTGCAATACCAGGTGAAGACGTGTAACCCAATGTGTTTGCAGTTTCTGCCATTTTCCAAACAGTCCATTTCTTTCAGGTTCTGTGTGTCTTGATGATGGGCTCAGGGTACCCTGAGTGGCTAGTTTATAATTAGGGAACAAAATGAAAGTTTGGACACTACCTGGAGATAAGAGTTAGGAGAGAACATGAGTGATTAAGTATGATGAGAGAATAATGCTGTTGCTTTGTTGATGTCTCAGGAAGCTTAACAAAGTAATTCTGATGTATCTTAGCTGATAAATTGGAGGCTGCAGGTGTTCATCTCTGTGTTCACCTGCATAAAGTATAAAGCACAGGGTAGTACTGTAAAGTACACTGATGGTTTGAATGACTTTTATTAGGTTCATTGGCTTGATCTCTAGCAAATATTTTTCTCCTATTCACACAGGCAGTTCAAAATGGATTGATATTTTCTGTTGGTAAAAGCTTCTATTTTTATATCAGACTAAGAGTCAACTTGATCTGAAGACTTTTTTCTAGAAAGATTCCTAATGGAGTGTTTAAACAAAACTGTATGAAGGTGAGACCACTGAGCTTATACTGTGTAAGCCAGTACACATGCCAAATTAATTAGGGTAAACAGAAAGATGATACATGCATTAACAGAAAGCTTCATATGAATGACTTTTAAAATTACTTTTAATGACTATAAAAGTATGTACATGAGTGCAAAAGGAATATGTTTTCACTTAAAATAAGTCAGAAAGGGGAAATTTATCTAAGAGACTAAAAAAAATTACCCTGTCCATAATATATAAAATAAATAAACTGTATAACAATAAGAAAATTCTGAATTATAATTTTAACAGAAGATGCAATGATATACCTGTATTAGTTTTCTAGCACTATAATAATAAATCACCATAAACTTGGTGACTTCAAACAACAAAAATTATTGAGGAGCAATGATGGAAGTTTGAGGACTAAGGTGTGCCTGATTCAGGGCCTGTATACATCTGAGAGCTCGACAATGACTAAGGATAAGAGAAGAAGTGTTGATGCCTTTGAACTGCGGTGCTGGAGAAGAGTGCTGAATGAATATCCCACCGACTGTCAAAAGAACATGTCTAAGAGAAGGTGCAATCAGAGAGCTCCTTGAAGGCAAAGAAGATGAAGCTTCATCTCACTTACTTTGGGCATGTTCCCAAGAGAGGTTATTTCTTGGAGGGACACCGTGCTTGGTAAGGTGGAGCAACAGCAAAGGAGAGGAAGACCCTCAACCAGGTGGTTTGATACAGTGACTGCAGCAATGTGCTTGAGTGTGTCAGAGACTGTGAGGATGGCACAGGACAGGGCAGAGTTCAGATCAGTTTTTCTTTCTTCCCTTTTTTTAAATTTAAATTTATTATTAATTTCAGTAAAAATTTACAGAGACTTTGGATTTCCATTCATTCATTGTTGCATTTTTCTCCCCTCTCAGCCCTTCCCCCTAGTGCACTACCCTCTTGGAAAAATAAAATTCTTTCATTGTTTTACAAACCTTCCCCCAGGTCCACTTCACCATGTAGCCTTCGCTCTAGACTTCTGTCATGACAAAAATACCTAATCACACATCTCTTTTAAACAGTTTTCTCCCTCATCTGTTTCAATGCAGTATACACTATTGAACCCATCTTTCTCAGTCTCTCCCCAACCCCAAGGTCAGTCCTGCTTTATAACAGTGGCACCATGCAGTATCTGTCCTTTAGTGACTGAGATACTTCACTCAGCATAATGTCCTCCAGAGTCACCCATTTTGAGTAATATTGCATGAGTTCCTTGTTTTTCAATGCAGCAT